AAAAAGGACCTATTGGAACCCATGAAAACAATTTACCCCAACAAAAATAGAATGACTTACAGGAAAAGAAACAGATCACAACACATCACAAGTTCAGCTATAGACTACTACTTAATTTATGAATCACTCAGAGGATCAGTGCTCCAAGCAGGAGTAGGCAAACACCCATACCATACTGGACTTGACCATAGCTCAATCCTTCTAGGACTAGTCTTAGACCCAAGAACGCGTAAAGGCCCAGGTTTCTTCAAAATTAACAATTTAACAATTCTCTGCTCAACGCACTTGAAATGAAGAAAGCAATCACTTAGGCATGCATACATTCCGAGAACGAGGAAGCAAACTTTCCTAGTATGGTAGCCAACCTTTCCAGGGCAGCTTCCGTAGCCTCCAGAAAGATGGCATCAAGAAGGAACCAAAGAATCCAAGAACTAGAAGCAGCAGCGAGGCTAGCAGAAATAAACCTCTTACACAACCCAGGTCAAACGGATTACGAGGAGGTACTGGTCACCGCAAAAGCCAAACTAGCCAATTGGAGCGCCTGGAAAGCCTAAGGGCTAAGACTGAGAGCTCGAATCAAAGAATGGGAGAAAGGGGAAAAGATGGCCAAGTTCTTCTTTCAGAAGATCAGAGTCAGGGGAAGGAACTCGTCCATCCAACAACTAAGAGGAGAGGAAAGACTCACTGCAGACCCAATCAGAATGCTGGCCATCACAGAAACCTGTTTCAGAAATCCTTTACACATCCAAAACCGAGGCCCCTACGCCCAATTCCGTACAACAGGCTAGAGCCAAGTCCACCAAGCATTTAGACAAAACCATATCAACTGACGTAATCGAAAAATTAGATAAGGCAATAACAAATGAAGAAATTCAAAAGGCTCTAGACTCCATGAAACCTGGGAAAACACCGGGCCTGGACGGCCTTTCCAAGGAATTCTGGCAGAAATATTGGCCACTCCTAGGAGAAGAGGTGTGCAATTTTGTCAGATCAGCATGGGAAAAAGGACTAGGGTCTTACCTAAGTACAAGAATAGTTACACTATTATGCAAAAAGGGTGACCCAACGGATATCAAGAACTATAGAGCCATCACTCTACTAACAGTAGTTTATAAAATAATAGCCAAACTGCTAGCGAACTTAATAAGAAAGGTCATAAGGAGTTGCTTCCACATAAACCAGACAGGATTAATCCCACATTGGGTAATCCTAGGCAATGTAATGACGTTGCCTGAATTGGTTAGACATAGCATGGACCGGTACAGGTGAATGGTCGCATATCCAACAGGTACAAGATGTTTAGATCAGTGAGACAAGATCCCTTAGCAGCCCCTATATTCGTATTCATTATCGAAGTGATAGCTTCCTACTTAGGAAGGACCCATCTATTCGAAGGCTTACAGATCAATCAGACAAGCAACTACACAAAATACATATCCCCCCTACTATCTTGTTTGTGGACGACCTAACAATCCTAATTAGAGCTTCCAACTCGTCCTTTGAAGCCCTCACCAGAGCAATGCACGCGTTCCAGCTAGCCTCCGAAATGCGAATCAACCGGCAAAAAATAGTCGGTTGGTGGATAATGGGCGAAAACATACCCCCTCCCCCGTACTCCCCAGAGGGAATGTCTTGGACCGACCCCAACAACCCAATGAGAGTCCTCGGGATCCAAATGGCAGAACATGGGGTGGTGGCGGAGATGGCCCCCAGCCTACTAGCCAAGCTAACAAACAAACTCAGCGCATGGGGCAACGTCCATACCTCGCTACACGGCCGAGCATTGATCCTAAACTCCTCAGTCTTCTCGATGTTGTGGTACGTAGCAGCCTTTTTCTCCCCGGAACACCAAGCGCTAAAAGTACTCAAGCAGAAAGCATCCTCCTATCTATGGACAGGGGACGAGTCCAAACAACACTTCATCACAAAGGTGGCATGGCAATACCTCACAAGGAAGAAAGGACAGGGTGGGTTGGGTGTCCTCGACCCTGCATACAGATAAAAGCCGCCCAAACGAAATGGATCCTCAAACTCCTAACGAGCCCCAAGCTACCTTGGAGACCCCTAGCAATGGAAGGAATTCAGCAACTCCTGGTGTACACCACACCAACCAACATGGAGGGTTCCTTTTGGTTGATGAGCAAATCATGGTCCCTGAGAGGCAGAACGTCGGCGGCCACACAAGCAAGAAGCGATACCAGACTGCACTTTTGGAAGGAAATCCTCAAGTCCTGGAGATAAATCTTCCCAGCCAAAGTGAGGAAGCCACAAAACAAGGAGGAGATCCTTAGACAACCTCTTTTCTGCAATCCATGGATAACACCAAGGGAAGGGAATCCTTTCACCCTAACAACAAAAGACGGTCGTTGGGGGTCATGGCTAGAGAAGGGGGTCTGGCAAATCAAACACATCTGGGACGACAACAGAAAGGATTGGAAGAACGAGAGGCAACTCAGAAACAGCCTCAAAGGTTGCCATAACCTAGCCCATAACCGACAAGAGCTCATTGCGGCAATCCCACAATATTGACTTCCAGTAGTTAGAAAGGAAAGGGAGTGGTCAACAGGTGATTGGGCAGTGATGACCCACATTGGCTTTCACGAGCACGCGCTAGCCTACCGGGGTAGAGAAGAGGCTAATGAAGAATGGTTCACCTTCACTATGCATACTTAGACTACAGTAAAGTGAGTAAGAACTCAGAAGCGCAAGTCTCTGTTAGAAACAGCAACCTCAGAAAAATAGTAGTAGTAGAAAACACGGACCTAAACAATATACCACCCCCAACCAAAGTTAGAAAACCTTGACGTCGACCCCGCTGAATGGGCTTGGAATCTAAAACAACAGAATACATGAATAACTCTCAAATTTAACCTCCTTAATTATTCAACAAGAATAGGTTACAAACTAAGACGCAGATCAGCTGCCCCAGAACCTATAATAGCAGAACGCTGGTGGAGTCACTTAGAAGTGGATCCAAAAAACCTTAACAACATTCCCTGGAACCAACTAGCGACAGTCCACCCCCCAAAATTTAGAAGCGACAATGGCTGATACTTTATTTAGCAGTCCCGTTGAACCAGTGGCTAAACAAACGGAGGAGAAAGGAAGACAAAAATCTTCTTAAGGAACTATGCGCTACTTGCTCAGAGGGACAGATAGAAGGCCTTTTTCACTGTTTCATCCAGTGCCCCAGGATAAGGCCCCTGTGGCAGAAAATATACACGATATGGGAGACACTCTCTAGTGTGCAGCTGGCAGCCAACCCTATCCTCTTGCTACTAGGGTTCCATATCCCCGAAGAGTGGTCCCCATTGGACTATAATACCTTTCAAATTCTCAGAAAGGCCGCTTTATGGACAATCTGGAGAAAGAGATGTCACGAAACATTGGATAAACAAGCAGTGCACAGACAAGAGGTTTGGAGCCTAGTCCAACAGCAAGTGGAAACGAAATACTGGGTCATTTGGCGCAGAGTGAAGAGGAAAATGAGAAGGGAGGAAGAAAAGGCAAAGGAAAGTAAACAGAAAATTGAAAAAAATTACCTAGCAAAAGGAAAGATAGCTACCATTAATGAACAGAGTCTACGGTTCACACTATAGGAGAAAGGGACAACAGAGTACTGAGCTCCTAGTAATCCAGTTAACAGCACACACACTCCCATGGACATGGACCTTATCTCATCCTAGCACTAACACAGCAGATCTACAAGTGTAAAGAGAGCGGAACAAGAAGTCACCACAGGAGTAAAGGCATCAGAAGACCACGGCATTATACACTACAGACAGGGTCACGAAAGAAGAAGAATAGGAGGAGCATTAGGCCCACTTATCTAGGGAAGGATACAGACTACAAGAAGCGCACCAAACTCACATCACGGACTAGCAAATAGAGGATATCACCCAAAGTAGCTCCGTGTAGCAAGAACTGAAGCTAAGGCCACCACAGTCCCAGGTTCCCAAACCCTGACGTCAGCAAGACAGCATGTACAAAGAAAGGTGACTAAGCGCGAGAGATTTCAGACCTAGGTTTGCTATGAGCCGAGGTTGCCGCAAGACCAACGCCCTACCCCGAGAAAGAGGAAGAAAAGATAGCTAGGGTTCAGGGCTTTGGGAAATTAGCAGAATTCTAGTAGGGGAGAGCCCACTATGTTCAGCAAAAGACCTCGGTAAAGGGCCAAACCAGCAGGTCTAGTTAGCATAAAAAATCCGACAGTCAAGGAGCTAAAGGGTAGCGAAAAGGAAAGTAGCAGTAAAAACAGTCTTCCGAGAGAAAGGAAGAGTACACAGCCCACATAGAGAGAGGAAGAGGGTTTAGGGTTTAGGGTTTAGGGCTCAAGAACAGCACATGTTTTACTTTTCCGGAACTAGGAACGGATAAATCAAGACAGCATTACAGCCGAGGGGTTAAGGTTTAAAGGTATAGACTGAAACAAGGCAAACAAGGCTCAGGGTGATAGAGATTTCAAGAGGCGCACAGGCGTTCCCAGCCGCTCTAGCATAACACACCAACCCGACAGCTCCACAGCTGAGAGGAGCAAGACTAGGGTCGGACAGATTGGCAACAGCCAGGCAAATTAAATAGCACAGGCTAACTGAGGCAGGGGTGAGGGGTGGTATATCGCTCCTCAGGGAAGTAATCAATGCTGTCCACTAGGGCTTCCCAGCCATAATGGGGAGGAGCGTGCGTGAGTTTCCCATGTAATCCATATTGACTTGCCGGGGGAATAGGAACCGGACTGTCGCTCCCCAGAATGGTAGGAGCCAGAACCAAGCGGTTCTGTTTTTTTTTTTTTTTTTTTTTTTTTTTTTTTTTTTTTTTTTTTTCTGAACAGACATCTTCGAACCACCAAGAAAGACAAAGGGACCAACAATTATAACTAGTTCAGGGTTCAAATAGTTGGATTTGGCTGAAATGACTATTTAGTATTTAGTATTTTGTATTTAGTATTTACTGCTTTGGATTTGAACAAAATGATTCTTGACTGATGTTCATACACAAACCTGATACGCCAAATCAGATGAGCCACACTTGCTTGCTTCCTGCATATTGTACACCCATGCCACCTGTGCAAATCACAATTAACAGGAAGTTTATGAGTTACAACAGTCAATGAGGAATGGATCTTCAAATACACATCCCTGAATGTTCCATATAATGATGTCTCATTCAATGTTTGGATCTGCCATAGCCATGTTTTCCAGTCATAACGAACAGCTTCCTTTGCTTCTGCAAGGAATATGAGTGTGAAGTTGTGAACGATACACAGAAAACCGAGTTGCAAAATCACACATATGTCCAGGTAGTCATGTCCAAGCAGAGAGTACAAAATGCACCGAGAAACCATCCATATCGAGCAATACAATGAAGTACTTAGCCAATGTTCAAGCCCGTAGGCCACACCAACACAGTATCCACAGTCGCCCCTCTCTGTCTGGCGCCCAGTGCCCAGCCTACTCTACTGACTATCCTACCTACAGCTGGTTCACGCAACAGGCTCACTTCGACTCTCGAAGACCAATGCACATGACTGTCAACACTATAGCCGACCTCTCTTCATGCACCAGGTACATATCTCGTCACCCTCAGTCAGACCTTGATTACCCCACACTCGCCTCCTTCCCTGAAGACCACCCGATCGCCAGCATTACCCCCTGGCGCCCAGCAGCCCGGCTATGGCTGCCTGCGCCCCGCTGCCCTGCAGCGCCCCACTTCACCACTATTCGCCCCGTCAGCGCCCTTGGCAGCAGCGCAGCATCAAGCGATAGCGCAGCAGCACTTCCCCATTGCCTGCACTGGCCAGCATCCTGGCCTGGGCTGCCTCACTTCTTTTATGTGTGGCCTGGTTGGAATCTTCCGGCAGCTTGGGCCTCAGACCTTGCACCCAGGCCCGAGACTACAGTTGAGGGCATGGGCCCTTTTCAGTTGGGCACGACCTGAGTCTCTGAACTTGGGCTGTTTGCTGCATCTGTGCAGAGCTCCCAGGTAGGTGAGTCGGCAGTACTGCTTTTCTAAAGGCTGAGGGCCTACTTCCCAATGTATCGGCCCTGCTTTATACGTATGTGCCCAGGCGCAACTGTCAAAGCCTGGGCCAACTGTACGACGCAACTCAGTGAGGCTCACGCGTCTACCCAACCAACTGGTGTGCTGCGAGAGCCTGAATACCCACATATGGAAATGTCAAATTTTGGCCTTTGACGAATATTCAGGCCCACCTTCACTTAGGGCGGCACTCGGCTTGCTGGGGGCCTTAGCCCAGAACATGTGATGTCTGAAAGGGCCCCTTGAGGGCTCGTTCCTCACATTCCATCCCCTTTAGCTTCGAAAGTCCGCTGAGATGCTTCATGCTGGTGCCTTCCCCTTCAGTTTCTTCTCATAATCTGCCACAATCTGAGGAGCTGTCTTGACAAGTTCCTCCCTTGACATCCATCGATCTTCCTTAGGATCCATATGATGCCTGAAATGCACTCTGTACTCCCTTGCCGGTTTAGGAGGTCTTCCCCTGCCAGGTGGCTTGGGAACAGGTGTGTCTCTATGATCCAGGATGTCGTCGACGTCCACGTGGCCATCCATGGTTGGGGGCAGCATAGATCTCCGTGATGGGAACTGTGCTGCCTCAGCGAAAGGTGCGAGCTTGGAGGCATGAAAAACAGGGTATGTGCATAGGTGACCAGGGATACGAATGACGTACGAGGGACCATCCAAATCATTCCCCACAATGTCTAAGACTTCCCAGGGACCGAAATACTGAGGCATTAGCTTCCTAGAGATGACAAACTCCTGTCCCAACTCACTAGCCTTGACCCAGACACGTTCCCCTACCTGAAATGTGGATTGTCGGCGACGCTTGTTCTCAGAAGCAATCATAGCTTTCTGAGATTTCTTGATGTGTTCGACAGTCTGCTGCAACAATTTCTCATACTGGACACCAAATTCAAAGGTTCCAAGAGTTGCAGCAGTTCGGTTTTCAGGCAGGAGGAAGTCTAGAGCAGATCTAGGCTTCCATCCGAGATGCAGTTGGTTTGGACTGACGCCGGTGGTGCTGTGTACAACATTATTGTATAGACTGGCGATGAGAGGTAGTTTCTCATCCCAGTCATCCCGACTGGGCTTGATGTAATGCCTCAGCAGATGCTGCACCACACGGTTCATCTGTTCAGCCTGCCCATTTGCTTCGGGATGATTCCCAAAAGTCATCTGAAGCTGGCTGCCCATCTGTTCAACGGCCTTCTTCCACATCTCGCTGGTAAACCAGACATCTCTATCACTAACAATGGTCTTTGGCAGTCCAAAGTCACGCACCCAATTGTCCTTGAACAACTTAATGACGTGCTCAGTCCTGGCAGTCTCTGGCATGGCAATTAGTCTAGCATATTTAGTGAACCTATCTACTATGACGAAGATGTGTCGCTTGCCATTCTTGCCGGTCACGAGAGTATCCATGAAGCCCATGGAGATACTCTGCCCTGGGCGAGTAGGAATGGGTAGAGGCTTGAGTAACCCAAGCGGAGCTTGAATCCGCGGCGTGTCCCGCCGATGGATCTGACAGTTCTGTATGTACTTCTTTGCATCGTCTAGCATGTTAGGCCACCAAAATCGCTGTACTAAGTTAGCACTAGTCTTCTTGTCGCCGAAATGTCCCGTTGCGCCGTGACATTCTCCTTAAAATAAACTACGCAAAATCTCCCTAGATGGAACAACTAACCTTTTAAACCCTKCCTTTTCAAGAAAGAGTAACCCATCCACCATCACAAACTCGTCAGAAGTGGCCTTGTCTTTGGCCTGCAGTTTGTTGATGATGTCCATCGTGATGGGATTTTCCTTGTAGGCTTCCCCCAAGGATCGAGTCACGTCCTCAGATAAGCCAAACTCGGAAATCAGCGCACCTAGGTAATCTGCCCTTCTAGACAACGCGTCCTCAACCTTGTTGTACTCTCCCTTGACATAGTCTAGTTTGAAGTCATAGATCAGTCTAGTTTGAAGTCATATTGATCTATGACTTCAATCCAGCGTTTGAGTGCATCGTAGAGAACTGGTTGGGTCTTGATCTACTTGAGGGTCCGATGGTCAACTGTCAAATAGAAGAGCCTCCCTAACAGATAGTGCCTCCAGTGGACAAGTGCCTTGTAAAGAGCGTAGAGTTCCCTCTCATAGGTGGACTTCGGCAACTTCTTTGATGGCATCTTTTTGCTCATGTACTAGACCGGTCTCAACTTTTTCCCTTCCTGTTGAGCCAGCACTGCGCCAATGCCATATTGGCTTGCGTCAGTGGTCACAACGAATGACCTCTGCGAGTCGGGCACCATGAGAACTTCATGGTGTGTGAGAACATGCTTCAAACGCTTGAAAGCTGCTTCACACTTGTCGGTTCAGTCCCATGGTGTGTCAAGTCGAGTTAGATCAGTCAAGGGAGATCTGAACGTTCTATCATTCTTTACGAAATTGCGGTAATAACCATACATTCCCAAGAATGATCTGACCTCTGTCACAGACAGGGGTCGTGGCCAGTCCCTAATACTACCCACCTTCGCATCTTCGGGCAAAATCCCATCCGCGGATACTTCATGACCCAAGTACAAGATTCGAGTGCGTCCGAGCTCGCGTTTCTATGCGTTGATCTTATACTTGTGCTGCCAAAGGACTGAAAGTACTTTGTCTACATGTTGAGCATGCTCCTCGACAATCTTACTAAAGATAAGTATATCTTCGAGGGACACAACAACAAACTTATCTAAGTAGTCATGGAAGATCTTATTCATGGCGTGCTAGAATTTACCCGGCGCATTGCAAAGGGCAAAGGGCATCTGGTCTTATGGCAATCTGATGGTAGATGGATTTCAAGTCTATCTTGGTATAGTACTTACACTCCTGCACCTTATCCAATAGGTCTTTGATACTTGGTAGAGGCTCTGCGTTTTTAAACCACTAGTACCTAGCGGTTGTTAAGGCCCGTGGCTCAGCCTACCGGTATCCCGAACCCTGCCGAGCCTCGAGCTACAGGTAGGTACATATCAAAACAAAAAAACAAAAAAACAAAAAAAACAAAAAAAAAAAAACAAAAAAAAATGACAATTCTTCTGCCCAAAAAAAAAAAGAAATTGAAAAACAAA